CATAGGCTGTCTAGCTGAGGCCCTATAAATAAACACTGCCAGGAAAACCAGTAAGAGTTCTAATGGACTCTCTGGAAATGTTGATAGAATTGGTCCATAAGATTTCCTTTGCCCGTATTCCCATGGCGGGCTGCTTATGGTGTAACAGAGGGCAGAAATTTGAGCAACAAAGCCTATAAAGTTGTTTGGGTATCACTATTTCTTGCAAGTAACATGAACAAGTTCTTACAACAACCTTCAACCGGATTAGGTTGTGTGGTGCATTGACAATGAGAGAGAAGCAAATGCAACAGAGGATCTGAATTCTAAAATCACTGGGCGTTTGACCCCAAAAGAAAGGCATATCTTATCTATCAACCGGCTGTGCCTCCGCCAAACAACCCAAGAAGTCTCACCTAAGCGGTGCTTTGCTCATGCATTCATGCACACATGCATTCATTATGACTGACCTGCCCTAGGAAGGTCCATTAAGTGGAACTCATTTCAAGCACAGATGGTCCTGAATAGCTTAATGTCTGCCTGGTGGCCAGAATAAGTGAATTCTTGATGGCCTTAGACTTCTGATCACATACATGCAGCCAAGGAGGAAATGAAAACATGTTTATCATTTTGATAAACAACCTCTCTCATTGCTGCAGGATGCTCCATGTAACTCAGCAGAGTCAAATACTATTAAATTGTCATCACTGTCAAAGAGAGAACGTATAAGTTTTGCTACCTGAGTCATAGTTAATGATTTCCACAATGTATAACACAAATCAGTACTGCTGTTTGCCTTTTTTATGTTTGTTTATTGATAAGTTCAGGCTTGGCTAGAACACAGAGGCGAGTTATAATTTTGGAGTGCAAAATATGCTTTTATTATTACCTCTCAGCTACAGATATAAAAACCAGAGGTGACTAGAAGATGGCTTTTCAGCTTCTGGCAGGCACACACTCAGACCCTATAGTTGATTAGATATTTTAAGTCACAGCTGCCCACAGTAGGCTCATACTTATGATAAAATATTTCACTCTGCGATGTGTAAACTCAAGGTGGCTTTATAACAGAGACAAAAATGAATATGTTTTCAGGAGTTTAGTGTCCTCCAATTAGAATTAAACCATTTGCAGGAGTAACAAACAGTTTTCACTCTTTTACAGTAAGAATGATGTACGATTTCTACAGTTTGGTATTTTAGGCCTGTGCAGAACAAAGACTCCCAGAAGGCTGGGAAATATGAGGAGAGTCATAATGCCACAGATAGTTGCCATCTTCAACAGCCCAGAATCCTTCCCAGCAGCCAATTCTGTCCCTCTTGCTTTGGGCAGGCATCACATTTCCTTCGTGAAAAGTTCAGGGCATCCTGTGAACTGAAGAGTCAGCTCAGGAAGAGTCAGCTGTTCTTACTACCAAGTTTGGTGTGAAGAGGATGTAAGTCATGTTAGGACATTTCCATTCATCTCTGGAGCTTCTTGAAGAAAAAGCAAAGCTATTCCTCATTTGCAAGTTCCTATTTCTAATCTTTTTTCTTATTTTCTTGGGGCAGGAGGGAATTAAAAAAAAACGTAAGCTATCTTTCTTACCAGGTGGTGGATATAACAGCCACTACCTGAAATGTAACTGTCGACAAAACATTCAGAAGACACTTAGAGGATTTTAGGGCCCTTCCCTCTCCTTTTGAGATCAATGGCAAATCCGCTATTGACTTCAATGAGTTGGATGAGGCTGTTATTGTGGAAACAAAGCCAGAAGCTACCTTAGCTCAGTCGACCATAAAATTTAAAAAAAAAAAAGACATTTCTGTTCTTTGTGACAGGGATTTAAACTTTCACGGCACTCACAGCCTATGAGGTCGATAATTCACATTTTTTCAGGACTCCCAGCACTGTTAACATCTTGCCAGGTCTTCCCATAATCTAAAAGAACCACTGAGAAAAAAATCACTGGTTCAGGACCAGCCATCCTCAGATATTGGTATTAAAGCATTTCTTGGCACTGTCCCTCGCACTCCGCCTCCTCCCCCCCAAAAAAGAAGTTGTAAATAAAAATTAAGAAAATTAAGAATCACAGAATAACAAGGTACTTCACATATACATCTGAATGTGTTAATTTTTTTTTCAATGGAAACTGAAGACTGATTCATGTTTCTCTCCCTGCTCTGACTTGTTTCCTCCTTTGTACAGCTGAAATAAAGATTTAAGTTGAAACACACACACACAGAGTATAGTTGTGGTATATATACATTTCCATGAATAAGGTAATCAGGAGCGTGCTTTTTCCTTGAGGTTTTTTCCTCATCTCAATGTGTCCATTAGTATTTATCTGGGTACCTCTATCTATTCCCATTTTGTATATGGCTTTTAAAAAGCATGTATATGCGTGGTTGGTAAAATATATACCAGCAAAACGCATTGCATGCAATGCTATCCACTAAACATTCATAGGCTAAAAGTGCTTTAATGGAAAAATCTGATCCCATATAAGAAATTTTCCAGAAAAACAGGGTGTGTAACGTGTGTAACTTTCTCCATGTGAGATGGATTTTTTTCTTCTTTTTCAGCACTGGGAAGAGTCTTTTTGTTATTGTTATTACTATTATTTGCATTACAGTTATAGTCCATACAGATAAAAGTTCCAATTAATGTACTTAACTGTCTAATGGTAAAAAAAAAGTGTTTTTTCATTGCTTTTATAGTTTCCTTGTGCTTTGCCACTCCTAAAAAACTATACACTTTGAGTTAAATACTTTCTTGCTGCAGCAACTTGAGCTTCCACATAACAATTAAAGATGTTATAAAGCTCATCCACCACAACCCATTATTTTGAATGGATAACCAAATAAGCAAGACTAGCTCATGTGGTTATTAGTAGTCACATAGCAAATTAATAGAGAAAATTAAGCATTTAGCTTATTCCCAGATATTTACTACACAGTCTATGTAGTCTAAAATTAGAAATGCTTATTACTGCATACATTATCTTTATTGTTTAGGTTGCAATCAATAAAATCACAAATCTCTCTTCTCTTAGGGCATGACCATAAGACAAATTAAACCAATAAGAATATTTTCTTTGCTTTCAATATGATTTGGATGAGGGAACAGGGAGTATATCTGAAGAATTACTTCATAGAAAAATACAAGCATTTGGGGCTGAGTTGATTGTCACAATTCCTCTTACTCCTAAGAGACACTTAAAAGACCGTTTGTCAGATGATGGCTTTCTGCATTGTCGGGATCTCTCTTCTGTGGCACCTATTGGCTTTCAAAAAGCTTGTGTCAGCAGCCCAAATGCACCCAATAACTAATACATGAAGCAGCATTTCTCTCCAGATGAGTTAAATATTTACTGCAGTGTTAGTCTTGTCTCAGGCTTGCAAACTCATCAGTGCTTAACCCCATGACCATGCAACCTAAGCTCATTTACCCTAATGGACGTTCACAGGCTTTCGTCTACTGATTCACCCTGGTAGGTCAGTGGTTTGAAAATTTAATATTATAAAACATTTCCACTCTTTGCAGAGTCCCTCTTCAGTGGTAGTTGTTGTACCACTTGATGCTGTGGGTACACCTGATGGCACACCACCATATGACCTTAACAACATATAGTCAAGGGAGATTCCTCCCTGCCCGCCTACCCCAGCGCTCCGCTACAGAAATATCACATTTGTAGAGTCACCAGGCAACAGGACTCGCTCCTGAGCAGGGAGATGCCACTGGACTCCCAGACCTCTTCCAAAATCCCTTGTTCACAGGCAGACATGGGTCAGCATCTCCACACTGCTTATTCTCCCACCTGGCTGCAGGGTTAATCTAATGTTCAAAAGCTCCCAAAGTTGTTTCAAGAAGAAGAATGAAAGCCAAAGACAGGAATAATGCTTTTTATGCTATAGTAAAAGCAACTTACAGTTAGCATTTCATAGTGGCATAAAGTAATAATGCTTTTTTAGCAAACCTTCTTACACACTCTGCTCTTTAGTAGGCTGTGCACGATGTTTTGTACCAAGTTTAAACAAAACCTGCCAAATTTATGCCGCAATTTCATAAAGTAGCCAAATATCTGTGGGGAACAGACTGGCACAATTAAATACTTGGTGATTATGAGCTAAATACAATCTGAACTGAGGAGTCAAGAAATTATTTGGGCAGTGTGTTAGCCCAACTGTCGCGTCTCTTCTCCTTGCACTGCACTGCGAAGGTGAATGGGAATAATACACTTGACGCTTCATTTCTGTGCATAGTGCATGCCAGAAACACCAAATATTCACAAACCCTAAGCCACCATCTATCTGTCTATCACTCCTTTGTGTTCTCCACCTAATCAAACTATTGCAAATGTTCATAAAGAACAATTAGGGAGAAGGCAAATTAAGCCTGGTGGTCTTGCACACAATGGGAAGGTTACCTGCCTTAAAACTGCCAATTTAGGGAGCGGGGTAGCAAAGGGAAGTGCTATTGGATCATCCTGTAGTTTGGAGAGGCTGCTTGTCATCCCCTAAGGGCTGAGTACTGGCATAGAATCAAATGTTTGGAGAAAAAGCTAGAAAAAGCATGTTTCTTGATGGATTCCCTTAGCCCCTGTCTTTGTACGAGAGAATATTTGGGGGAAGAAGCCTCCAATATTACAAGCATAAAATCAGCCAAGAGTTGTTGTGCATTTACTGTAGTATGTTGCCTAAATTGCTTTAGGCCCAGACCCTGACACAGTTATTTTTTAGGCCAAAAATTCTGCTGATGTCAGAGAATCTTCTAATGTAAGACAGGCAAGCTATATCTACCATAGAGGCACATTTATCTGCATTTCCTATTAAAATTGAAGTATAGCAGCACCTGGCTTATTCAGGAGCACACGTAATGGGAGAAATGACATTGTAATCCCACCTGTACAGAAGCTGTGCAGGGACAGAGACAGGAGCACGCCTGGGTGCTTTGATTAGCCACTGCTGCTCTTCCTAATCAGAGTGTCAATATTCTCTTTTTCTTTTTTCTTTTTTTTTTTTCTTTTTCTTTTTTGCCAGAAGGAGGAACGTGTGAAGTTATAGCAGCACACAGATGCTGTAATAAGAATCGAATTGAGGAAAGATCACAAACAGTAAAATGCTCCTGTCTACCTGGGAAAGTGGCTGGGACTACAAGAAACAGACCTTCCTGTGTTGATGGCAAGTAGCTCCTCCTGTATATATGTCTCTGTTTGTGTACCATCCAGTAAATAGCTTGACGTCTATAGATTCCGCATCAGAATTTTGTTGTGTTCTCTGTTTAATGGAACAGAAAAAACTATAAGCGTAAGCATTCATTTACACCACCTTGCCTCGTACTTTAGTGCACGGTTCCGTGCACATGGGTCACTTTAAGATTTACTCACAAAAAGGAGTGTACAGTAAAGGCACTTAGATAAATATAACAGGTTCTGTGGCAGGATCAAGCCCTTAATAAATAACTGGAGAAAATTGCGTCACTTCACAGCCTCTTCCCCCCCCCGCCCCCCCCGTTGCCACATTAATTTTGAATCATAAATATTTCAAAGGACAACAGCCATTCATTTTGAATGAATTAGCCATTTTAGTCCGTGGCAAAAAAGGTAAATAAATGAATCCTGTGGTCTTGTCCTGTTACAAACATTACAGAAACCTAGGAAAAAATCTTTGTCTTTTGAAATCAGTGGTGCTGTTTCTTGTCATGGGGATTTTTTTCTTGAAGGAAAAACAGCATGTTATTTGTGTCTGGGTTTCATATCAGGTCTAGCTCCACAGGGTGTATTCCTCTCTGGGGCTCTGCTGCCACTGCTGCAGGGTGAAACCATGGAGCAATCGGCGAGAAAGCCACGGCTTGGAAGTGCTTAGCATAATATAAATCGCATAAGAAAATGGGGAGTAAGTCATACTAATCCCATTAGTTACCCTTCCCAAACAATCTGCTCTGTGTTGCAGAATCCCTCTGTGCAGCAGCTTTGTGAAAGAGAATATCTCATAAAAATTCCTCACTACTCTTTATGGTACACATCTGGTGCCATTATTTATACCACCCCACAGCCCAAAGGTGCTTTGAAGAGCCAGGGGTTATTTCGGCTAGAGTTGAGGTGGGCTCTGCACTGGGCTCTCCTCATCCTTCCCGTAGCTGGACTTCCAGGGGTGGTGGCATGGCTGCAGGTTTTGGAAGCATCCGATGTTTCCTCTCTGGGTCTGTTGTTTGGCATTCAGCTTCCCCCCAAGTGAGCGAGAGGGGGTTGCTGTACAAGCAAACATTGGGAGAAATGGTTTCTTCTGGGTACCTTTCCTCATCACATGTCACAAAGGCACTAGCAAGGGAGCAGGGGCTGGTCCAGTTGTAGCCCAAAGCTAGACAGGAGTATTGGTGGGCACAGTGGACTGCATAGAGCAATGCACTACTACACAGGCTTGCACATTCAACTAAAACGATGAGAGATTGGGGGTGACTTGGAGGGATGAGAACCTCATGTTTTCTCAGGAAGTATTTGTGGTCTGTACGTATCTGATTTAGATAGTAAAGACAGAAAGAAAATGTTTTATTGTTTCAAAAATGCTTTCAAATTTTTAAATTATGAGGCAGTAATTCATAGCTTGTTACACTGGGAGTGCAGTTCAGCTTCTGAACTCATGACTAAATTTCATGACTAAAAACACGCTATGAATGCACCTGTGAATGATTACACTTTAATCCACATTCTGTCATTCTGTTATTGCTTAATTACCCCAATAAAAAGAAGCTTTTCTTTTTCTGTTAAGCACACTCATAAAACCGTAAGTGAAACCTACAGCTGGTCTTAACCAAAGATCAGCTGTACAAGCCTTGAAGAATCTCATGTTCTTCAGCAGGTCATGAAAAACAGAGGCACCGGATAGAGCAGAGGGACACCATTAATTCAGATCTCATAATTCTGTCCAGAGAAGAGGAGCTCAAAGAATGCTGTGTTACGAAAAAAAAGTCGGGTGCAGGTGTGGAATGGAGCCTAATTGCTCTGTCAGGATTACAATAAAAAGAAATGTTATTGTCTGGAATTTTGAAAGGCGTAAGGATAAAACAATGGCTAATATAAAAGTGCAAAGCTAGTCCCATTGAAGTCACTGGTAAGACTCACAGTGACTTCAAAGCCAGCAAACGTGAACTACAAAGGAACGTCTTCCCCTTTCAAGTTTACTTGTTGTAGTCAGCCCATAGCTTCTTTTGTAGATGGCTGGTGAACAGTTCAAAAGCCCAATATGCTCCTCGTAAAAATTAATAGAAGGGGCATTTTCCTTGGCCTTTGTTTTATCCCAGACTTTGCTTTGTGACTTTTGACATACTGACCTGTTTCAAGTCAAAACTTTGACCTACTTAGTGGTTCTGTTCTTGCTAAGGCAAAATTCCCAAAACTTCCCATGGGAGTCCCATTGACGTCAGTACTTTAACTCACACAAAGATTTGTGATTTGCTGTTTCTTTTGTACATGAAGACATTTCAAAAGGTCATCTGCAACTTTTTACCTTCTTTACCTACCATACAGAAAGTATTAAGGCTGTTTAATCTCACAATGGGTTTTATACTGAATATGATTTCAAGCCATGATCTGTCATTAAGAAAGCTGACTTGGATCCATTATTTAAAAATCCATGGATGCTCAGGTACAGCAATATACTCACAGCCAAACAGACTGAGCACCTTTGAGAGGTGACAAGGACTGGGAGATCCTATGTTAGCATCTGTGGTTGATTATTTCCTCAAGCCATCTCCACCTGATGCCTATTTAGTTGTGTGTATCAAACAGGATGAACCTCAGCGTTGTTCATACCATTGGCCAAACTGTGACTTAGTGGGATCAGAATCAAGCTTTTGGTGATTCTCAGTCCAATTTTATCAGAAAACACTTCAAGGCTGATGACTTGACAGTTCGAGTTCATGTTACAGAGGAGAGGTGGCATTGCCTTCCACTCCTAGCAGCCCTTGCTCCGGGACACAACTGAGCTGCGTGGGTGGGACTGTGGAGAGCTAGCTTGGTTTTCTGTTTAAGAGAGAATACAATTATACGTAGGAGTCAGCTTAACCTTTTTAATAATTATCAGGAGTGATAAATGGTCCTTTTGTCCTCTGGTTGTGAGATCTCATCATGGGTAGCACACAGGACACACATGCGCAGTCCTCCTCCTGAACGAGCTGACGTTCAGGCTGAGTGTGTGTCGTTGGTACCATGAAGGGTGAACGAGCTGACGTTCAGGCTGAGTGTGTCGTTGGTACCATGAAGGGTGGAAGTTGCCATATATTCCCAAGCATCGCTTCCTGCCAAGTCCGGCAAACTTTTTCTTTGGAGCCTCATCTTAAAAGAAGCATAGTAAGGCCAGTCTGCGGCAGCTTCTGAAGTTATAAATTATTCCTTGCCACTCATTCAGTAGACACCGTCCTAAAACCTGTCTAAATCACTCATGAATTATGTAGTAGCAACAGTGAGAGCAAAACAAAAGCCAAATCTTGTCATGAAACAGAGAGGCCATTTTCTGGGTTTTTTTTGCCTCTTCTATTGCAGATTTACTTTCATGATTCCCTTCACTAGTTCCAAGTCTTTTTTTTTTTTTTTTAAGGATGGTTTGAATGCTCCCTTCCCTCCCTATGATTTATCTTGCATGTCCCTTGGCCATAGCACATACCATGGGCATCAGTCTGTTCAGTTCTCTGTCACGGCTGTTATTATTTTCTCCATTTGCCCAAATACCTCTCCAGAGCAAGTCCCAAATGGATTTAGTTCATTTGTGTTACAGCAGCTAGAGAAGGTCGCTTTTTTGGGAGGAAAGCAGTGCTGAGCATGTCCAGGGAGTCCCCAGCCCTCTGCCTCTAGAGCACAAGGGACCTGTGGAGCTTAGAGTGTTTCTAACCTACTCCGCAGCAGAGCTGCTGGACACAGCCTGTGCGTCGGCTGTCGGAAGGCACCAGAGCAACTCCTGATCTACTGTCCTGCTCACACACCTCAGAGACGGCCGGGGCCAGTATGGGGCTTGAATTTGCAGCTCGGACTAGCGTGCAGACCCCTCTGGCTTCACACTTTGATGGACCTGCTCTCTTTCATTTTCCTGTTACTGCAGGCACTTTGCGTGTGACGTGCAGGTTATTTCTGCAAGGGTTTCTTAGCCATGTGTCTGAATTCGCACCTTCCCTCTCCACTACGCTTACAAACAGCCTGTCTTCCTCATTTCAAAAGCCCATGAATTTTTCTCCTGCTGCAATAGGCTCTGTGGGCTTATGAGGGCATTCGGGTGTCAGCACAAATAGCTGGGATTTGTCCCCTTGCCAGTACCGGCACGGCTGGTACAATTTCTCCTGTAGGTGGAGGTTTTATTCCTTTGTCTTTATTTACCAGTTTCTTCTTTTGAAACTGTGGTTATCAAAGAGAGGTGTTCCCAGTAATGTCCTCTGCTTCTTTACAGCAAGTCCTCTTGGGCACATGATGATTGTCTTCTCAGGTGTCAAGCCCACATCCTTTAGAAAGTCTATTCACTTCTGTGAAACCAGAATTTTAGGGTTTTTTTTTTCTTAAGTTAGTTTTCTGTTACTCCACGTAAAATGGAAAGAATACACTAAACTGAAAAAGAAAAAAACCTCATCCTCATCTATTTCTCTTTTTTTTTAAATAGAAATTTGTCTTTATTTAAATAATTTTTCACCATTCACAGTACGTCTTTCACATTGAGTAGGACCAAGTTTTCTTCTGTTGTTCATGCATAATGTGGAGGTGTTCCTAATCTTGTTCATTACTTCAAAACTTTCTTTTCCTGCCCCATCTTCCTTCTCAGTATGGAATGCACTGTGCATAGTGAAACCCTGATGAAAAAATGTGACTGTTAAATACCTTTAAAACTGCTGTTTGAACGTTTTCTAGATGTACTCAGTATATTCGCAAAATATTTAAATATTATTGAGGGATTTGCATTCACAATGATGCCACAAAGGCCATTTGTGTTTTGGTTTTGCTTTTGTACAACACAAGGCACTTTCTTCAAATAAATGGCTGTGGACTGGTCCAGGTTTGGTAGTCCTACCAGATCTTGGCATCACATGAGGTTTCATAACATCAAAATAAGTTTGTTGTGACAGTATCAAATGTAAAGCTGATACCAACACTGTCATATTTGGGTCAGGACATTAATGTTCACCTCTAATTCTTCATTAACCT